TGTAGGGTCAGAATGAATCGTTGCGTTAAACATCTGTGTAATCCTTTCCGTCAAAGCTCGAATGAGAACCGATTTTCCCACTCCAGCTCCACCAGATATAAACACACGAAGCGGTGTATAACTTTTGCGTATGTGATGCACGACATGATCACTAATCGCGCGTTGTTCCGCATTTAATATCTTCTCCAGCAGCATTTATTCCGAACTGTCAACGTTGATATGCTTGAACAAATCAGTGCTCCTTTTAACAACATCTTGCATATTCAATTCGTTTGCAAGATCGATATGGTCAACTATATCATTTGAATCTTGTGTTTCAATTTATATGCGATCATCGTTGGCTTGTTCGGCTTCTTTGAATGCATCAGCCCATGTATCTAACTCTTTCGTGAACTCTTGCTCTTTCGCAATAATATCTCGCTCAAATCTGTGATATGCATCAGAACATTCAGCATGGTCGATTGGCTCCTCTCGAAAATGATGAAACAATAAAACCCTCTCTCGAATATAATTGTTATAATTCTGATTCTTATGATAATTCACAAATCTTATTATCTTAGACTTTCCGCGCTTATAATAGAATCTCTTTTCCTTAGTTAAGTCAAGACCAATCAAGTGTAATTTATGCTTGCTCGAATCGTATGGGGCCAATTCATACTTTGAAATAAAATCGGCCAAGCACGTATGTTCCATAGCTTCAGGCCTTAACTTATACTTTTGAATGCATGCGTAGGGTTCATACACGTCCGTGCTCGTTGACTCTAATTGGCGCAATTTATTAATAGGTTTAATGGTTAGTAGTCGTTCATTATGTGGTGATGTATTAATGAAGATGACTTGTCGTGTTGACATGCGATACTGTGACCCAAGTAGCAAATAGCATGCTTCTTGTGCGCTTATTTCTTGAGAATTCAACATAGCGTTTCCAATGGTACGAAGAATTCCCTTTATTCCTGATTTTTTATTACGAGCGTATGCTAATTCTTTTGCATCATGGTACTCATACCTTTATTTGCTTTTGTCATGTACGATACAATGTACGCTGCCACGCTATATGGATCAATGCACAACTGAATATCCATATTCCCATTCCACATTCTGAGAAGGGTGGGATTATAATTGTTTATGTAGACATCACTTACCTGACGACGTAGAATAAGTGTTGTTCTATGAGCATAATATCGTGCACAAGTCACAGGGTCATTTCTTACCAACGTGCACAATCTCGTGCACCAATAAGTTTTGTTGAAGCGTGAAACGCTTATTGATTGCTCTCCTGGTGCCATTTGTGCACGCTTCACAGGGTCATTGCACAAAACAGCAATCTCTTTCTATGAGCATAATATCGTGCACAAGTCACAGGGTCATTTCTTACCAACGTGGTAATCGTACTATACTGTAACGGTAAGCCTATACCGGACGGCAATTTACACGGATTCCCACGTAATGTATTTACTCTTAAAAGTATCGCATGAAGATCAACCCAGCGGGTATCTGCCATTGACATGGTTATAAAGAACATTGGCCTACCGATTTGACGCAAAAGTGCAAAAAGATCGCGCTTGCAATTGTCTCTGTATTGTTGTGTTGAACGGATGACCTTAAAATCATTATATAAGGTATCGTTTTGTTGAAGCGTGAAACGCTTATTTTCGTTCAACATATCTGTCGCGGTAAATGCTTCTAGATTCCTAATTTTGTCTTGTCGTACACGCGTGGCAATTACATTTTGCACCTGTAATATCTCTTTTTTATACATTTTGAAAAAAATGTTGGATATATTTGATGAGCATCGCCCATTTCTATGCTTTAGTTCCCACTTTGCAATATCCGAATACGATACATGCAAGTCTGTTGCTGCACGCACTCTATGATTACCACCATAGATTGTTGGGAAACTCAATTCTTCGACATCTTTATCTAATATTATGGACAATGGTTTTGATTGCTCTCCTGGTGCCATTTGCACCAAGCTCTGTGATGGATGCTGATAAAAAGGCTCTTGCGTAATAAGAGTGTCGAGTACACCAACGTTTACGCTATTCGTATCGTTGCTATCACTTGACTCTCTCGATGAAGAATCGCTTTCGGCATTGGCTGAATTCGCATTGTCCATACGTGGTTTGCTGTGTATAGTGTTTAACCGGTTCAAATTAATTTTGTTTAAGACAATTTTGTTGTCAGTAAAAAGTTGTTGTCTACAAAGGAAGTTTATCGCTTTCAAGACTTTAGCAGGCCTCACGTTTTCCTCAAATGCGCTATGTTTGTACTCCATCTTGCGTTTCAATCTGACCGTAACGGTATGTGTATCATTGAGCAACCTCGGTAATGAGGATACCATCTGGTTAACTTCAACTGGAATGTTGATAACTCCGCCTCGTATACCGTACTGTTTTCCAATGGACAATGAACGTATATTCATAAATGGTATGCACAGACTTATTAAACGCTCTTCTAGCGTTGTAAGGTTTTTGAGTTCAACGGGTTGAGACGGAAAGCC